AAAAAAAAAAAAAAAAAAAAAAAAAAAAAATCACACAAAAACATTGTAAAGTTACTCCTATATAACCACCACATCTAACAAAACCATGGATTACCTGATACTTTTTATATACCAGGAAGATTATTCTTCTACGATGGAATTACTCCAATCCACCTGGCATTAGACCGATGGTCAGAATGAGACCTTTTTTTGCTACATTCATAATATATTACAGTAAAGCATCCTCAAAATTTTTCAACTCTGGCAGCCATTGACATGACCCAACCTGGCATCCCACCTCCTGTGATGGATCTACCTAATGTACCTAAATAGAATGTTAACATGTGTCATCATATTTTTGAACCTTTTACTTCACTCGAACAAAATCTTAATGAGAATACTCCTCCTCGCAATTCCCACATTAAGTTAGATGGCGGTTGAGAGCAATGAATGAGTGAATGAGTGTCACTGTGTAAATCATGTTGAGAATTTCTGTTATGGTAATATTATCTTACCGACGGCTATCAGATTTCACTATTTTATTGGTTTTAGGTCTCTTGTTGTATAATTTGGACAGATATATAGATATATCTATATCTTATGATATTTCAGTTATCGGGCCTAATTACACTTGGCCAAACTTTCTAGCAGAAGCACAATGACTAACATACAGAGAAAAAAAAAATATAGCAATAACTTTAAAAAAAAGGGACGATACACCAGCTAAGGTCGTTGCCGCAGACCATAGAATTGCCTGGTAATGAGGGAAAAAGCAAAAGTCAAACTACGATCGCTCCATTCTATTAATACCTGTCACTGCAACCCTTACTCTGAAACTTCACATAATCCATCATCAGCCTGAGAGTGATGTCTAAGAAACCACAATGGCTTTCAGCCAGCTATTCGTGTAGGAGAGAGGATTATCTTTATACCTGCCATAAATATACATTTCCTTTTAAAAGCAATAGCTTGCAAAACCGCCTAAGGTATTAAACTTAGGTGCAAGACAAAACAACAAACTTTTACAAGGGGGTATCCCTCTCCGTTTTCATTATACACTACAAGGAATGCAGCAGGATGATGAGTGGGGGCCTCACTACTAGAGTCCTCAAGAGATTAAGGGCTTGTCAATTTGAGGTGCATCTGAGAACCTTCTGGATTCCAGCAGATGTGCTACTGGCCTGTTTTTAAGCTGCGTTTGTATTTCCACTGTATGCAGTATGGTGAGAAAATCAAGTGGCCATGGCCACAAGCCCGTAAGGAGCTAGTTAAAGCAAAAATGTGTCCTCTCAACTGATTTTTGTTTATATGTCTGTTAAGACCAACATATCATATATACACTTTGAACCTGTGAACATGACTTGATGAGAAGGCAAGGATTTGCTTGCTGGTCATGTACATGTAGCCATGTAATTCAACATTTTTGACACTGGAGAGCGCTTATCTGGTGTTACAAATACATGCAGGTTATGTTTTTGTGTATGGAATGTTTCAGTGGCTATACGTTGCATATCTGCAAAGACCCGCTTTGTGTTGCATGTCCTTGGAAGCATGTCCAAAACAATAAAAATTAGGTCTCGAGTGGCAAGATAGGAACCCGTTGAGAAACACTGACACTGGGATATATTGCATTAAGATGTTAGATTTATAGTACCGGTTAGGCTATAATCAGCAAACTGGTGTCGGATGTTCCATCCTGATTTTGTATACTGTTCATTTATATCTCAGTTGTATTTCTTGCTTTTTTCGAGATTATAAATAAAGAATAAAAAAAATAAAAAAACGTGTTTGAACTGCAGGAAAAGCAAGTTAGAGGCCAGACTTTTCTTGCAACTCTCTGCTTTGTACAGCTGCATGCTTCCAATGGCATATGCAGGAGCATCTAACTACAATGCCCATCAACATAAATCCTAGAGCACTCTGTTTGCAGCCATGTGACTCTAGTACAGCTATATAACCTGGTGTGCCTTCTGTCCTCCTCAGGGGTGCCTCAAAATATTTCGGTAGTGGGTCTATGAAGGGCTGAAAAGAAGAAAAGGGAATATTGATGTAAAGGGGGGGGATACCGATGGGCAAAGGGGGGATACCGATGGGCAAAGGGGGGATACCGATGGGCAAAGGGGGGATACCGATGGGCAAAGGGGGGATACCGATGGGCAAAGGGGGGATACCGATGGGCAAAGGGGGGATACCGATGGGCAAAGGGGGGATACCGATGGGCAAAGGGGGGATACCGATGGGCAAAGGGGGGATACCGATGGGCAAAGGGGGGATACCGATGGGCAAAGGGGGGATACCGATGGGCAAAGGGGGGATACCGATGGGCAAAGGGGGGATACCGATGGGCAAAGGGGGGATACCGATGGGCAAAGGGGGGATACCGATGGGCAAAGGGGGGATACCGATGGGCAAAGGGGGGATACCGATGGGCAAAGGGGGGATACCGATGGGCAAAGGGGGGATACCGATGGGCAAAGGGGGGATACCGATGGGCAAAGGGGGGATACCGATGGGCAAAGGGGGGATACCGATGGGCAAAGGGGGGATACCGATGGGCAAAGGGGGGATACCGATGGGCAAAGGGGGGATACCGATGGGCAAAGGGGGGATACCGATGGGCAAAGGGGGGATACCGATGGGCAAAGGGGGGATACCGATGGGCAAAGGGGGGATACCGATGGGCAAAGGGGGGATACCGATGGGCAAAGGGGGGGGATACCGATGGGCAAAGAGGGGGATACTGATGCAAAGGGTGACACCGATGTGAAAAGGGGGCTCCTGGTGCAAAGGACGACACTGATGTGAAAAGGGGGGCTACTGATGCAAAGGGTGACCCGATGTAACGCTTCGGGTTCGCACAGGGATCCTTCATCAGAGCGACTGTATCACTGTCGCTCTGATGAAGGATCCCTGTGCAGACCCGAAACGTTAGCATTGTATGACAGCATGTGACATTGGGTATTGAATAAACATATCAATACTTCTAAAAATTCTTCCAAGTGTGTGCTGGTGAATTACGTTTATTTATTCACCATAAAGTGACTGCACAGGTGACGGGTGGGGTGAACGGAGGGATGAGAGTAGGCATGAACTATCTACATGGAGGCGGACGTACCTTAAGGCTCTTTAATTCATATTCCATCAGCTCTAACTATTCAGGACTACAGATCCCAGGGCAAATTAAAGCCCCGCTCTACAAGACCCCCAATTCAGACAGCTGCATGTGTCTGTGTCCTCATGAAAAAAATAACAGAATTACCGGCTCAGAAACGAGCAATGGGAAAATTGTGCGTCCCACACCTGGGAGTCGGGGCAAACTCAAGTTAATGCAATCATGTACTTGGAGAGGCTGAGAAGCGGCAGATTATTTCACCGCTTGATTTTTCATCTCGAAACCACCTGAGCATCCCCGGGACATTATTGCAGAAATATATTAGCAACATGGGCCTGTCAGTTATGCACTTGAGTGACATTTTTAATTTATGTGCTGCTGACCCTTCTCGGGAGGGATTTATTTATTTGGTGCTTATGAAAATAAAAGCGTAGGAGAAAAATCAACAACCGCACACTGTGCAACAACCGCACAAAATTTTGCAAGACTTCCAAAAAAAAAACTGACAGGACCGGCATGGACAACTCATCTTACCGTGGCGTCCTGTTTGCTCTCGCCGCTCTCCTCTTTTTCAGTCAGCGCTCTGTCGTGTCCTGCGGGTTGGAGGAGGTTTTCAAGTGAGCTGGAGCGTCCCAGGTCGATCTCCGTTCCCTTCATCACTTCGGGGTCGTCCTTTACAGCAACAGTACCAGACATCCTCATTGGAAAAGGTCACGTTAAAACTTTAAAGGGTTTTTTTTATTACTATTCATTAGTTCAAAATATTTTGCAGACTGAAAAAGGTATTGTAATATAGATCAAACTGACATGGAAATACATAAATGATCGTTTTTGGTGTAAAACATTAGCATTAGATAAAAATATAGCAAATTCATATAAGATTTAGCAGCAGAGAAGTAATGAAGGAAGCATCATTTTTATAAAAAATATAGATCAACACAAGGTAAAAATGTGTAACATACATATTAATATTAATGTGAGAGAGAAAGATATAGATTTATAGTATGTGTTTGTATAATTATATATAAAATATGTGTTTTTAATTATATCAGTCCCTCTTCATATTTAAGTAAACAATTTTTTAAATTTATGGTTTATAATTGCCCCAATCCAACTGGAAACTTTAATTCAATATATAAAAATCAGCCATGTGACATGTGGTTTTAGCATCTTTATGCATTTATTATATTATATTTCTGTTGCTACAAAAATGAGTGAAGATGAAAACAAAGCATGTAAGGATAAAGACTGGCATACATGTATTGGCACGCACATACATTACACAGACCCCCTCCACCTCACTACATTACATCTACACTGCATTCCAGCAGATCTTCGGCTGCTTTACTTTTGTTTGCATGTTCAAAGCCGTCACTTCTCTCTTCTGCACTGACACCAAATTAAATGCAAATAAGTTTCCCCCCCCCACATTTCAGGCACTATAATTCAGAAAAATAGGGGGTTGGCTTTAATTGTTTTCATGAAGTGTCAGCCGGGATTCTAAACATAGACTCGAACAATAGACCGGTTCCTGTTACCATGGGAACAAGAGAGGAGAAGCATTTGCTGCAGCCTTTTAAAAAAAAAAATGCTATACAGGTACAGGGAACAAAAGACTAGTTCCCTGGCATACATAGAAATGTATAATCCCAGGAACGTGCCCTTACAGATGAACAATGGCTCGAGCAATGCTTCCACTGCCATTATCAGACATAATGGAGGCAAAGCAGACCAAAAGAGTTGACAAAACAGCGGATGGGCTGATTGTACACCACTGACCTCAACTTGATCTTTGTCAGGTCACCGGCATGCCACCACAGGGTATAATAATGGAGTGTGTGGAAACAAACAAAAAAAAAATTGGCTGAACTGTTTAGATTGCAAGCTTCTTGGTGCACAGGTGCAATGTGCTGCTTCATCCTTCAAATACACTTTTATCCAACCGGATGATGAAAACCATAAGAAAACATTGCCAGCAACAGGATAATTTCTGGGAAAAAATATTGAACCTATTTCTATCAACATGTGATTGTACACTCATAGGTGTAAAATAAACCATTATCTGAGTACAACTGGCGAAGATGGATGGACAGATATCAGGGGAGCGAGAGACAAAATCAGAGAGAGCGAGAGACAAAATCAGAGAGAGCGAGAGACAAAATCAGAGAGAGCGAGAGAGAGATATATGCATTGGGTCCTGCCAATAACGCTTATCTGAATTGAAGAGAAAGACACAGACTGTCCCTACCATTTTTCTCTCCTATTGCCAAAAATAGACCAAAAGACCCTCCCAAACCTTCTCATCCCTCAAACCAGTCACTGTTCCTTGCTGTACTAACACAATCGAGCAAAAGGCCAAGGTGAAGAAACCCTCCGACAACCAAACCAGATTCCACCTTCCATTGGTAGACGGTCATATGGAGTTAAATTTGTTGAAGCTTCCTCTACATTCTCGATATACACAAGCTTTCTTGAAAGATCGCACATTGAGACACATTGAGCAAGCAGATCTGCTATGCCAAAACGTTTCGAGTTTGGGAGCTCCAAGGGAAGAGATTTCTGCTAACAGGACTGCAATGTCTTGAATACATTAAGCTGCATTTGGGAGGGAGAAGGGGGAAAAAAAAAGCTCACCACCCACCTCAGCCACTCTATAATATTCCCATCTCATTCGACCACTGCTCCACTCTTAGTGACTGAAGAAGACTTGGCGGCCCAGAGTAACAATTATTTTCTTTCCCATTTTTCCAGTATTTATAAAGAGGACCACTGCTTTCTAGGCATTCCTACAACTGCACACAGACTTCTGCTTCAGGAGGGACCAGTAGCACAGACAGCTACAACGCGTAATTACTGCGAGTGATGTTCATGGTAAATGAGGTTTGATTATTCATTTTTTAAGTGGTACATAATGCAAACAAATCTTCATTTGTTCTGTGAATGAACGGTTGGATTGGGAGTTGCAGACCAACGCTATTCCCAAATTTCACTTACGTTAAACAAGTCCAGCTGGCTCGCCAAATCATCTAAACTGCAATTTGCATAGAAGCCAAATTTATTTTATTTAATGAAAAAAAAAAAATTTGTAATTGGACTTTATCCAAAGGCTGTTATTTATCAGATGAGCTCTTGGTGCCTGGATGCCTTCCCGTCAAAGCTGCTCACCAATTAGTGAGACCTTCTAAGGTGACCTCATTACAGGAGGTAGCCAATTACATGACACTTCCCTTCCCCAACCCCCCCTTTTTACGCCCAAGTCAAGAGAAAAAAAAAATGACCTACAGCCGGGGTGAAGGAAAGGTCATAAAACCTATAAGGTATTTTTTCATTTTTAATTATGGTACGATATCAAAGCCTAGGCAACGTGAGGTCATGGAACAAGACAGCCATGGATGGTTGTTGAAGGATTGATATTCTGCATGTGTGTGCCCCATAAGGGTGCACCAAGACTAGTAGTCCTACATGAGTCAGTCACAAAATGTAAACTTAAACCCACCAACAAAAACATTTTACCTCAGAGATTCACACTTAAACATGTAATAAGACCAGGCTGACAGATGCTGCCAACCACCAAGGTGATAAAACTTCAACAAGAGGCTGAAAGGCGATTGGCCAATTTGCCTTTCGGCACCAACCGCACGGCAGGGTGTTGAGAATTTACCTGGCGTGTCTTACGGTTACAAATATGTGACGTCCCAGAGTAATGAAGAGCAATTTTTTCAGGTTCCTTCCCACCAAGATTGAGCAGGATGTCAGTTGTAATGAACCATCTGGAAAGTGACAGAAGCCGTCCCATGTCCCCGTCACCAGTGGAAGGTCCTGGGATGGGTCACGCTGCTGGAGGTCAACTGCAGCATTGCCCGCACCAACCTGGAGACAAGACAAAGCTGGTTTGCAGAGATCTACAGATACATGTACCATTATCATGACACACGCATTGCGTTTAACCAGAAAACAAGATCGCAATATGCAACATTCTTTTTTTCCCCCCACTCTCTCCCTCTGAAAACTACACGTCATGTTATGTGAATTTATGCAATAAAAGCTGCTCCCCTGCCAAGACAATCTGCCAAAAAGATTTGGAAACATCGGGTGAAAACAAGCCTGGGATTTGGCAATTTGCTGCACTTTAATCATTCTAAGCACCAGGACATTAATATGGGAAAATAATAAGTAAAGCAAAAATGAGGAGGATACGGGGGGGTTAAAAGAAAGTCTGGGGTAAATATGCATTTTAGGTTGTGTATTACGATAAAAATTGTGTGCAAAGAGCAGTAACCCTTAGCAACCAGGTTCCGCTTTCCATCCGTCTACAGCAGCAAGGACAACGGAGGGTAACAGTTGACTGCTCGGGGTTATGGCACTTTGCACATTTTAAGTTTTGCCTCTCCAATAAATTTAACAACTCCAGGAGCCGGGTCACCAATATGCCCAATAATGGCAGCCAACGCGTTCTAAGCCACTTTAATGGTTAATTGAAAGGTTCCTTAAAACAAAAAAGTGCCTACTAGTTCTTCAACTGGACTGTTGAGCCAACGTCCTCTACGTTTCTTTGACCCACAATATTGTACAAGGCACGGATTTTATGGACTTGCAGAAATGTTACAGATCAGAGTTGATTATTTGCACAGATCGGAAAAGCTTGCTTTATGTCAAGTTCCCAGGTGCATCTATCTCTTTGATAAACGAAGAAAAGTGTTCATTTAGGAATACCTCCTGGAATGATATTCAAAAGGCAAACTTCAAAAAAAAAAACCAAGGAAAGGCAAAGTGAAGAGAGAAAACATTCACAGCGCTTCAGCTAAGCCACACGGGTCATTTTATCCTATTAAAATGAAATCGCTGGCAGTCACCTGGTTACGAGCCAAGGTGATCTCTAGAGAGGGGGGAGAAATCCTGCAGCACACAGGCGAGAAGGAGCATTTCTACAGAGGAAATGTGCAATAATGTGCTATATTGCCTATCAAGGGACTCGGCACAGCAGGGAGGAAAGATTTAACTTCGCACACAATATGCAAAACACAATACAACCAAGAGAATATAACATCACACAGGAGTGGGGGATCGTCTCGGCACACCACTGAAACTAGATACCTTCATGCCTTGGTAAAGCATCATTTCTGTGCACTCATCACCTCATTTTCTTTCAATACAACGAATATTTTTTATTTTACAGATAAAAATCAGTAAAAGAACAGAAGGTTCTAATCATCAGGTCATATAGTCTATTTTATTGGACTAATCAGATTCAGAATTGAGTTATATGGCAGGACAAATCATTAGTAGATGCCAGAATGCAGGAGGAAAGAATAAGAATTTTGAAAATATAATAAAAATAGGGCTTTTAGGGGGGGAAAAAAAAGAGAAATAATGTCCAATTAGGATTCAAAATGAAGAGGGTTTGTGTGGGCAATTTAAAATTTGTAATCAGAGAACCTGGCTCATTTGAGGTCAAACTGAAAATGTTCACTAGAAAACAAAAAATAGAAAACCCAACCAGACCCTTATAGAGGTGTAGAAAATCCAACACGACCTCTATAGGTGTATAGAAAACCCAGACCTATATAGGAGGTATATAAAACCCAACCATACCTCTATATAGGTGGAGAAACCCCAACCAAAACTTTATACATGATGTATAAAACCCCAACCAGACCTCTATATATTGTGTATGAAACCCAACCATACCTCTATATAATGGTGTATAAAACCCAACCATACCTCTATATAGGGTGTATAAAACCCAACCATACCTCTATATATGGTGTATAAAACCCAACCAGACCGCTACATGTGTATAAAACCCAACCAGACCTCTATATAGGTGTATAAAACCCAACCAGACCTCTATATTAGGTGTATAAAACCCAACCAGATGTGTATGAAACCCAACCATACCTCTATATAATGGTGTATAAAACCCAACCATACCTCTATATAGGGTGTATAAAACCCAACCATACCTCTATATATGGTGTATAAAACCCAACCAGACCGCTACATGTGTATAAAACCCAACCAGACCTCTATATAGGTGTATAAAACCCAACCAGACCTCTATATTAGGTGTATAAAACCCAACCAGACCTCTATATTAGGTGTATAAAACCCAACCAGACCTCTATATATGGTGTATAAAACCCAACCAAACCTCTATATAGGTGTATAAAACCCAACCAGACCTCTATACATGTGTAAAAAAAAAAAAACAACCATTACTTCCACACTTGAGAAATATTTAGTCCAGAATAATATAGTCAAAAACAATCTGAAAAGCACTTTACCTGCAGTAACCAAATAATTTCCTGTTACTCAAACAAGGATGCAATCTATATCCCTCCTAAAAATTATAAACACATTCTTTCAGCTCGAAAATGAGAACATTAGCTGAAAACAAACTTATATTTTACTGCAGTAAGAACACACCAAGTTCAAGACAAAGCTGATAACCAGAAACTAAAAAGCTGGTGTAAGAATCAAAAGAAATTTGTTACAAAGTGAAAAATACGAAGTTCAACACAACATAACAGGCAGGAGGTATCGCAACATAAAATTTTAATGACATCCCTAAAACGACCTTTCAATGACATCCTCTAAGAAAATGTTACACATAACAAAATCACAATTGAAATTCGTAAAGGCATAACTTTAAAAAAAAATTGAAGCAAAAGCACAGAAAATTGTCAAAGTCTTACCTGCTGAACAGAATTGTAAATCAGTAACTTTTGTAAAAAGTCAGAAAAAAAAAAAGGACTTGGGTAGAAGGTATAAAATTATATATAAAGTCATCTAAAATAGTAAAGTCATCCAAAATGAGCACATTTTAGGAGTAAAAAGGTTTAGCTGGTAAATGTAGGAATTGCCTGCAGTAAGCAGTCACATACCTGAACCATTCCGATATCGAGCTTCATTGCACCAAATTACAGAAGATGTGCTTTCCATAGCATCTACACAATTACTCTGAATGGCTCTTTGAAAGAGCGATTATTGCAAGCCTACACTTAGCTGAGGTTGCAGGCACCTGGCAGACAGTCTGCTAAGGCACATAGAGGAGCCTCCGAGTGAAGCTCACAAACCCACAGCTGCCCACAGTGACATCAGTGCAGCACAGCCAGTAACAGAGCAGCACAACTCAAAACACGTCTCAAGCTAAATTCAGATCTTCATTAGCAATTTCGACAGCAGATGTAAAAAAAATAAATAAAAATGTGTGAACGTGTGAAAGTGCCAAGGAAGGGGCTGCAATTTTTATCATTAAACTATACTTTGCACAGCAAGTGGGGAGAGAGAGAGAGAGAGAGAGAGAGGCTGAGAGAGAGAGAGAGAGAGGCTGAGAGAGAGAGAGAGGCTGAGAGAGAGAAACATTTCCCCATTACAATCTGACATTTGTAATCGGAGAGCATTGAAGAAAAAAATAAATAAATAACTAGGAGTATTGTCAATGTTTTTTTTTTTATTTTTTCTGTTAGATCCTATTGATCTGGTTTTAGTGTTGATTTAATATTTAATCATTTTAAAACAAGAATCGTTACACGAATCACAAAAACGGGTTAAATGTACAACAGGAAAAGAATAAACGGGATGGTTTCTACTTGATTGATAAACCATGTAGGGTAAAAGGTGACCATTAATATTGCCAGACGCACACAAAACAAGATGGTAATGACCAATCTGTTCCTTTACTACCACCCCACCCCAGACGTATGCGTTTTACATACAGTGAGGCATCTTCATGATCTGTACAGGGCTGATGTGCAAAAGAAAAAAAGAAAGAAAAGAAAAAATAAAAAAAAAAGTCACCTAATGGACCCACCTAACCCATGGGGGAAAAAAAATGTCAATGGACCCACCTAACCTATGGGGGGGGAAAAAATGTCCAATGGACCCACCTAACCTATGGGGGGAAAAAATGTCCAATGGACCCACCTAACCTATGTCACAAATATTCCCAAATGTTTGCTACAAACAAATAAGTCCAGAACATGGATTTTTTTTTAAAGAATGGGGGCTTTAAAGAGAAAAATCGCTTTCAGGTAAAGATTCAGTTACACGTATGAAAAAATAAACCAACACATTTCTGGGGTCAGGCTCGACCCCTGCATCAAGGCTTAAAATGCTGTATGAGGTGGAAGGAAAGGACTCAATCTGAATTACATTTGTTAGAGCAAGAGAAAGGAGTGCTGGATCGGGGTCTCCAGGCTCCTCATGGGGGGCTGTCCTGTGGCTGTCTGTCCGTTGCAGGAGGGCTGAATGATGCTGGGGTCCGGGGGGGTGCAGAGCTCAGTATCCAGAGGCTCCATGGTGGTGATGGCTGGGGAATGTGGCACCTAGCTGAGAAGTCAGGCTTGGCTCTGTACACTGGATGCAGCTAGTGGAGGAGGACTAGGACGAGCCCAGAGCTGTCAGTGCAGTCTCATGACATCGAGGGGGGGGGGGGGAAGAGAGAGAGAGAGAGCGCGCTGCTAAGGATCTGCACAGCCCTTTATTCTGTAGAGTGGCACCATCTTGTCCAGTTCTCACGCCTCTACTTTGTCTGCCCAGCACATCCCCACCCTATAAGTTTAGGCATTCAATATTAGACTACTGCCCCTTCCTGAGTGATATGAACAAGCCCTCGACCGAAACGAACTCTAAACATTTAGGTGAGAAAGCATTTGACATCACAGGGCAGAGACATGCCAGATAAAGAAGTGACACAACTTTCGAACAAGAGTCAAGCATAATGTTGACTACAGCAGCAGATCATCTCAGAAGAGGGAGGTAGGCTTATGATTCATATCATCAGCATGGTTCCTCGCAAGCAATACTGTTTAATGAAAAGTTAATTGATGGCCATTCTCTTTGAGGCTAACCCTACACAAAACGAGACACTTGTAAGCAAGCAATAGTAAAGAGCGCTTGGTTATTGGTGTATGACTGGTCTAATCTACAATTTTTCTTCAAATCAATCCAAGACCGACCTGCCTACGTATGTTCAGTATTAACTGGAATGAAAGATTTTATACTGAAGCTAGGTGGAAAAGAAAAAAAAAAAATCTGGATTTTATTGTGCAGAAGTGATATTCAGATTGTTAGCTCTAATGGAGAGGGTCCTTATACCCATCACATCTACTTATGTTTCAGATAACAATGTGTATTCACTATATCCCCTACTGTGGAGTACCGCAGAACATCGCCATTATAAAAAGGAGAATGCTACGACAGTCGAAACCTCTGACGTCATCTACGTTTTCAGATCCCGAGCCAACTACACGAAATAGGGTTTCTTACTTTTATTTTTCAAACATTACTTACATCTTGTATCCAAATAAAGGGAAAAAGTATTTCCGAAAGTGGGGATCCTTACCAACACTGCAGTTGAGTTCTAGCATCTTATGGCACACTCTATACAGCAGAGATTTTAGTTTCAAGTCTTCGCTATAGTTTGGTCACCTTATATTATAACCTGTCGGGTTCCCCATTTAGCCCTTAACCGGCTAAAACTATTTTGCACTTTCGATGAGACGTTTATGATATGCACCATATTTTAGACCCAGTGACATCACCGAGTCTCTTCAACTCTTGAACAACGGTGAGCGATGTGAGGGTCCAGAATGGTGTTGTATTTTAACCTATGAGGTGAGTGAAAATCACTCAGCCTCATAGTTTGAGCCGACCTGTGACAATTAAACTGTCACACATTGGCTAAATAGATCGGGAAGTGAGCGAACACATACCATCGCTCACCTCCCTGCAGAGAGAGGTGGCGCCCCTACTCCCATCCTCCAGCGCTGACTGGAGGATCGGACGGTAGAGGGAGCGGGTACAGCTGGCTCTGCCTTAGATAGGCAGAGCCCGCTGTCACTCACGCAGCTGGGTGGATCTCGACAGCGTCCGGTTGTGGCGGTCTCGGTATACCACGAGCTGTAGCTCGTGTTATACTGAGCTTTGGGTCACGGGAGGATGCTAGTATATGTCCTACCGTGACCTTTAAGAGAAATATGGGGAAAAAACACTTACCCCAAAGTTCTCTTTGAATGCCCATGTCACAGCACCCTGCCTCTAGAGCCCTCAGACATGCACTGAATAGGCTGGTTCTTAGGAGTAGGAGGAGTTGCCTGCATACCTTCCAGCAATATCTCCATCAGGTTTTTATGTTCTCTCTGAATGCGTGAGCATGTGTTATTACCTGGTTCACTTTTCTCCCACAACTTAAAATGATTGGTAAGCCAACTGGCTTCCACCTAAAACAACACAAGTTTTTTTTTGTTTTTTTTTTTAAAGAAGTGCCTGTATGATTCTTCAGATGACTCCATCTCCCTTTAGTTTCTGGGACTCTGGAACAGTGCACATCATCACAGAGGCAAAAATGTAATGCAATGCGAGGTAGCTTCCTGCGCATCGGAGCGCCCAGATCCACCTACCAATCACAGCCCTCACAAAAGGATTCTCACTCTGTTGACCATCCATTAAACATATGCTCACCATGCACATATCAAACCAGATAACGCATTTCCATCACGTATGGTTAAAAGCAACAAGATCTATGTGGAAAAATCCAAGCAAAATAGGGACATAAACATGCCCAGCAAGAAGCTTATGGCCTACCTCTTTTGCCTGTAGGACAGGGTTATCCAAACATCGTCCGTCCAGCTGTTATGGAATTACAACTCCCATATGGCATTGACTGACACACCCCTACATGCCACAGCTGGAGTGCTGAAGTCTGACTGCCCCTGCTCTAGAAGATGGTGGGGGTTGGCCACCAGCAGGGGCTGCCCCTAGGCCATACTCTTTTGTTTTGTACCATTGTGTGTCTGGCTAGCATTATTTGGAGAGTGTTGTGGTTCCCCTAGATGGCTGAAATTTTGGCTTAGAGAAGAAATTCGAGCAGTGGGTTGGTCCTGCAAGCACCTCCTAGCTTGACAGAAGTCAATTCAGAAATCAACTGAACAAAGTGGATAATCACCCACCGTACAGTGACGACAGCCTATCAGATGCAGCCACTGTTTGGGTATTAAGGCGACCGTGGGTGCCACAGCTTGCTGGATACGATAGCCAGCAATGGAGAGTCCTTTATCCATTCGGTTAGCTCTTCGCATCTCAATTGAATTGCTCTCCTTCAGCCTGCAGGCTTAGTGAGAGAAAATCACGCTCTGTATGTCTTCTTTAACACACGAGGGTAGAGAGGTAGTGAGGCAGAGCAAGAATTAGGAGGAGATAATCTTGTGTGGAACAAATGTTTAAAATGACTTTTAAGGATGATACACCAAAGCTAAAACTCATCTCCACTGCAATGGCTGCTACGTCCCATCACCAGGAAAAAAAACCCCACAACCAGTGAAGTCTTAAAAGTATGAATACGTGTTCTGCAAATCGTTTCCAGGTCACAGATCTGCTATGTAATAAAAGCCAGGATCATGCCGACAGCCATGGAACTTTCGCCTTTTTAAAGAAGTCAGCAGTGACAACTCCTATACATCTATTCTTACAAGCAGCTAAAGGGGAGTCTAGTTTGAGGATTTAAACATACCCATTTTCAGGTCCGGTAACCCTTTTAAAGTGACCGCTCAGTGCCCAGTACCGAGAGAGATACTTCTTTAGTAATCCAGAAGGCTGTCCTAAATTCACGCGTACTTTGGCATTAAACGGCATACCGCATGCGACTGCCAAGCATAGGGCTGATTACTAGGTTACAACACAAACAAATCTATTGATTAGACAGGATGGCTCACATCAACAATATATTAACATTTCTCTGTACACTAATCAGATTCGAGAGACACAAGACTGCCTCGATCAACCTCCAATTTACATTTAATACAAGCAAACAGCTACAGTACAATGAGAGCGCTAGGAGAGAACGACGCAGGAGAACGAATGCGGGATCTAGTGAAGCAAAGGTACAACGTGCAAGTAATCACTTGACAAATCACTGGGAATTTGGTTGTTTAAGACCGCAAAGACCATCCCCCCCCCCCCATATGGAAATTCTGTGTACACAGCTACGCAAATCATGTACTAATTTACAATAATTCAATGTATTTTAATGCAACTTAATGTACATGAAATCGGCTTAGTGCGGCTATGTAGGGGATTGCAGGCGGCCTATACCAAGACGTGCAGAAGGAGGGGCCA